AAAGAGTCTGTCATGAGGGTACTTGTAGTGAACAAGAAGGCTCAGCTACCGCATGGTTATTTCTTTGCCACCCATATGACAATATTGAATGAAGATAAAAGTTTGCTAGACCATAGGATGGTGGGTGTGGGAGTCCCGAAAATGTACGTGCTGGACTCCGTCTTCAATTTCGCTTGACATTAATTCATACGAGAATAATTATTGCATATTCAATTCGACATCAGACCCAAAACTAATTGGGATCAAAGTAGATGCAAATTAATCTTTGTTCAACCTTTTGAGTTTTTACTAGAATAACAATCTTTCTACTTGTACTGCCATCTGCTTTGATATATGCAAGTACTGCAAACTGGTTTAAGCGGCCTTAAAAAGAATATCAAGTTGAGTTTAAGTGCTGTTTAAATTTTCTTATCTATTTTATATTACGCTTCTCTATGTCTCTCAAAACTCTTTTGTCCTTCTTTTTCAGTGAGCAAGTGGGTGGCTCCACATCAGCACCAAAAACGATCAAAATCAAAGTATAATTGTAGGGCAGGCTAACAAATAAAAAGAGTCAGTACAAATTTCGTGTCGACCTAACACATAAGGAGTCTGTCCTTACGGTATTTCTAGTGAACAAGAAGGCCCAGCTACTGTAGGGTTATTTCTTTGCCACCGATATGGCAGTAGTGAATGAAGATAAAAGTTTCCTTGACTAGGGGATGTTGGGTGTGGGAGTCCCGAAACTGTACGTGCTGGACTCCGTCTCCCATTTCCCTTTACATTAATTCATATGGGAATAATTATTGCAAATACTATTCGACATCATACCCAAAAACTAATTGGGATTAAAGTAGATGCAAATTAATCTTTTTTCAACCTTTTGAGTTTTTACTAGAATAACAATCTTTCTACTTGTACTGCCCTCTACTTTGATATCTACAAGTATTGCAAACTGGTTTGAGCTACCTTAAAAAGAAATTTTCTTATTTATGTTATGTATGTTGCTTCTCATTACGTTTCTCTTTGTCTCTCTAAACTCCTTTATCCTTCTTTTTCAGTGAACCAGTGGGTGGCTCCGCATCAACACCAAAAACAATCGAAATCAAAGTAGAGTTCCGGGGAAGGTTGACAAATAAAAAGAGTCAGTACAAATTTCGTGTCGACCCAACTGATAAGGCGTTTGTCCTGAGGTTACTTTTAATGAACAAGAAGGCCCAGCTACTACAGGGTTATTTATTTTCCACCGTTATGGCAGGAGTAAAAAAGGTCGTACCCAGTGTTAGTTATTTATTTTCCTCCAATTTCTCTTGACATTAATTCATATGGGAATAATTATTGCAAATACTATTCGACGTCAGACTCAAAACAATGTACGTATCTTTGAGTTTCTGATGCCATGGGATAGATAGTGTGGGAATCCCGAAAATTGAAGTGGTGGACATCATCGCCAATTTGCCAACATAGAAACGTATAAATTCACAAGACAATGCAGGACCATCAAGTCACAAGACTGAAGCGGCAACAAAGACTATAGAATGCTCCAAACCCCAAAGCATGTGCTATCGATGGATAGTGATTTCGAAGTTTTATCCTTTTCCAACATGGATTTATCGATGGATAGTAATTTTACACCTCCTGAATTTATTGACCCATTTTTTTTTAATGATTTCTACCTTACACGATCCTTGATGATATTCTAAATGTGGAAATATTTTGTATATACATAAATGTTTACACAATCAGACATCTATTTTGCGTTCAACCCACAACAATCAACAAAAACAAAAATAAGGAAAATTACCATCGATATACATTAAGAATATGAGTACGACAGGAGCATCTTCAACTTCAGTCTTTGCTGTGCATTGAAGGATGTCCTCACAAGGTTAGTACAATGATGTTTTAATATTACATGAACGTATTAAGTCTAACCGGAGCAGTCGTGGCTTCAAGAGGAGTTCTTTCGTAATAATTTTGCAGCAGCAGTGGCATAGGGGTATGCAATTTGGTAGTATTATTGTTGATAATATAAATAAACAATGCAAAATGGCTTGCATATTGGTGTGTGCATGCTCTTTTTGGTAAGATTTTTGTTTCTCTTTATCCATTTTAAGAAGTAAGGGTTTAATTTCTTTTGTTTGCTGCTGTTTTTGTGTTCCAGGTACAAGATATATCAGGAGTTGTTACACATAGTCCAGTGGGATCACCAAGGGGCGACCGCTAATATTTCTACAATGCAGACACTGAGGTGGTGGTTTTTTTTTTTTTTTTTTTGTTTCTTTTTAAGTGTCGTTTAAATTTCCTTATTTATTTTATGTCAGTTGCTGTTAATTACGTTTCTCTCTGCCTCTCTAAATGTTTTTATCCTTTTTTTCAATGAACCAGTGGGTGGCTCCACATCAGCACCAAAAAACGATTGAAATCAAAGTAGAATTGCGGGGAAGGCTGACAAATAAATGAGTCAGTAGAAATTTCGCGTTGACCCAACTGATAAGGCGTCTGCCTTAAGGGTACTTCTAATGAACAAGAAGGCCCAGCTACATCAGGGTTATTTCTTTTCCACCAATATGTCAGTAGTGAATGAAGATAAAAGTTTCCTAGACCAGGGGATGGTGGGGGTGGGAGTCCCAAAACTGTACGTGCTGGACTCCGCCTCCAATTTCTCTTGACCTTAATTCATATGGGAATAATTATTGCAAATATTATTCGACAACAGACCCAACACAATGAACGGATCTTTTGAGTTTCTGACACCATGGGATAAATGGTGTGGGAGTCCCGAAAATTGAAGTGGTGGACATCACCGCCAATTTCCCAACTTAGAAACGTATAAATTCATAAGACGATGCAGGACCATCAAGTCACAAGACTGAAGCGGCAACAAAGAATATGGAATGCTCCAAACCCCAAAGCATGTAGTAATTTTACACCTCCTAAATTTATTGACTTTTTTTTTTTTTTCTAATGATTTCTACCTTACATAATCCTTGACGATATTCTAAATGTGGAAATATTTTGTATATACATAAATTTTTACACAATCAAACATCTATTTTGCGTTCAACCCACAACCATCAACAAAAACAAAAATAAGAAAAATTACCATCGATATACATCAAGAATATGAGTATGATGGGAACAGCTTCAATTTCAGTCCTTGTTGTGCATTGAAGGATTTCCTCACAAGGTTAGTACAATGGTGTTTTAATATTACATGAACGTATTAAGTCCAATAGGAGCAGTCGTGGCTTGAAGAGGAGTTCTTTCGTAATAATTCTGCAGCAGCAGTGGCACAGGGGTAGTTTTAATATTACATGAACGTATTAAGTCTAATAGGAGCAGTCGTGGCTTGAAGAGGAGTTCTTTCGTAATAATTCTGCAGCAGCAGTGGCACAGGGGTATGCAATTTGGTAGTATTATTGTTGATAATATAAATAAACAATGCAAAATGACTTGCATATTGGTATGTTCGTGCTCTTTTTGGTAAGATTTATGTTTCTCTTTATCCATTTTAAGAAGTAGGGGTTTAATTTCTTTTGTTTGTTGCTGTTTTTGTGTTCCAGGGACAAGATATCAAGAATTGTTGCCTATAGTCCAAGGGGATCACGAAAAGGCAGCTGCTAATATTTCTGCAATGCTGACACTGAGGTGGTTGTTTTTTTTGTTTAAGTGTCGTTTTTTCCTTATTTATTTTATGTTAGATGCTTTGAATTACGTTTCTTTTTGTCTCTCTAAACTTTTTTGTTCCTCTTTTTCAATGAACCAGTGGGTGGCTCCACATCAGCACAAAAAACGATCGAAATCAAAGTAGAATTGAGGGGAAGGTTGACAAATAGAGTCAGTACAAATTTCGCATCGACCCATCTGATAAGGCGTATGTCTTGAGGGTACTTCTAATGGACAAGAAGGCCCAACTACCGCAGGGTTATTTCTTTTCCATCGATATGGCAGTAATGAATGAAGATAAAAATTTCCTAGACCAGGGGATGGTGGGTGTGGGAGTCCCGAAACTGTACGTGCTGAACTCTGTCTCCAATTTCTGTTGACGTTAATTCATATGGGAATAATTATTGCAAATACTATTCAACATCAAACCCAAAACAATGAACGAATCTTTGAGTTTCCGATGCCATGGGATAGATGGTGAGGGAGTCCCGAAAATTGAAGTGGTGGACACCACCGCCAATTTCCCAACTTAGAAACGTATAAATTCATAAGACAATGCAGGACCACCAATTTCAAATGGCAAGTATACCCCCCACACGTTATTATGCCTTTGACAATTATTATGTCACATTAAATACTATATCTTTTTTAGTCATTTAACATATTCAAAACAATATATATAAAAGTTTACCAGACACTCAGACACTGCTTCTTTTATTAAAAGCACGTTTACAAAAAAAAAAAATTACCAAATACTTAACAATTTTATTTTACAACTGTTTATTCTCACAACACAGTAGAAGTAGTTTTTTTAAAAAGCACAACAATACCATACTAGCCTTAAATGTGCACACTTGCCGCAACAAGATTGGTAATTGTGAGCATTTGGCTCAATGGTTGAAGTTTTCCATAAAACCTTACAATATTTGGGAGGATCTCCGATCCGTCGCACAACTTCGGACAACTCCATCGTCCTCTGACAATATAACCCTGATGTGCGGGAAATAAAAGGTTTGATTAAATCAGCATCGGGAGAACCAATATTTGAATTTAAGGGCCGAATTAATGTGGGCTGGGATAAGTTCTCCATTGGGCTTTTGAATTTAAGGGCCGAATTAATGTGTGCTGGGATAAGTTGTCTATTGGGCTTTAGGGTTTAGGTCCGAATTAAGACAGGCAGAAAAATTTGATCTTGCTCGGACCCTATGATCCGAGTAAACAAAAGTAAGTCAAAGGCTCAGAGTTGACACTAATATAAACTGTAGACATTATTTAATAATATAATCACTGCAGTGTGGGTTCCCTCGGTAACTAACTTAACATCTAATCTAACAAAATCTATCATTTAACAAAAAAACACTGCGGCGCTGCACTCCTACAGGCACACAAATTCTACACTAGCAGGCACTTTTTCCTTGAGGTGTTGGATGGCATGATCTCTTGCATTCGCTTCCTCGTTCTCCAGTAGGTAATTGATCTCCATTCCCGTAGGCCAACACCAAAACCGGATAGGATTTATAACAATCTTCTCCAGTGCAACAGCATTCTTCACCAAGTACCTGACATGCTTTACGCAACACTTGTGACCCCGATACCCTGCTATTTCTACCACCTTGAGGCAGTGATGGGGTTGTTTGGAAACTTTCTCTAGTTGCCATGTCCTCGTTGGAGGTTCCAAATTCCAACTGCAACAAGGAAAGCAAACAAGACCAGATTCAAAACAAACCCCGTTGTTCATTCTTTTGGTTCTTCGAGAATACAGGTAACAGAGAGATGAGAGGATATGAACGCACAAAAACATTCATACATATATCAACTTTTATTTGGTAACCTATCAATAACAAAGGCATACAATACATACATACCCCCAAAACAAGGCTGCGCAAGTCGGGAGCTGCCTTCATGAAAGAAGCTAAGCGACCAAGGGACAGACAGTAGTCGGCTTTTTTTTTAGTATGACGACATATTTTCACACTAAGGAGAGGGTGAGTTCGGCCAAGCAACTTAATTTAGTATCGAATTTGCCTTCAACGAGACTCGAACAAGAATTTACAGGAACATTTGGAACCTTTCATTTTTGCCTCTCACTTATAAGTGAAGAGGAATACCATCATACCATAATAATAAATGGCAACAAAAGATAACTACTTGACTGAAAAGAGAAATTAAACCAAAGACTACTACTCCTAATAACTCACGAAGTTCAACACAAACATAAAGGCTCCAAATAATTAAAGGACTTCAATTAAAAATTGAATTGGACAAAAAAGAAGACTACCGTGTTTTTAAAAAAAAAAAAACAGAAAATAGAAGGAAAGAAAGAATGAATGAATAAAGAAAAAAAAAACCACTAAAACAAAAATGGAAAACGGAAAAATAAAATTCAGTAAAGCAGAACTATTTTTGGATGAAGAAATTTAAGATTACTAAGGAATTTTAAAATGATTGAAATTTAAATGATGGAATTTTATTCTATAGAATTTGTGAATTTTCTTGTTTGGGTAACCTAAAAGAACAATAGAATTGAATATGGATTTTTTTTTTTAACTCTCAATCATAGAAATTGGAAAATGACACCTATTTACATGAAATTTAAACTTGGGAATTGGAGGTCCCAAATTCCAAAAATTTTTTCCATGCGGAAATTCAAAATTTCTCTATTTATGAATCCAAACAAGGGAATTGGTGGATGTCAATTTATAAATTATGTCTTTAATTCAAATTCCAAATTTATTTCCCTCATCCAAACATAGTGTAAGATAAAAGGGCAATTTCCGGCAACAGTGCCAACTACTGTCAAGAAGACAATTTTTTTAAAGAAAAATGACATAAACCCATTGAATTCATAGAATTCAAGATGAACCAAGGTGGAAAATAAAAGTGCAGTTAAATAGATTCAATTGTTTTGCAAAAAACAACTCAACAACAGATTGCAGTCAAAGAAAAATTAGTACCCTTTCTTCCAGTAAACCAACTTAAGAGAAATATACCATCAATCAAAGAATAATTCATAAGTGATCATCGCTTCTTTCTTACACTGTTCAATCAACAAACAATTAGACTTTAGACAGATATAAATATTCCTCCTCTTTCATTTGGGTGTAGAGGAGGAGGATCACCAACATGATGCTAAGGTAAAAGGCTTCAGCAGATATAAAATTCAACAGTACCATGCCTTGAAAACAATGGGTGAACTAAATGGCCATCCCGACATCCAGCAACAAAAGGCAAATATTAAGAGCAGTTTTCTGTTTCGAAAAAGCCAGCCCGACATCCAGGCAACAAAAAGAATATAATCATAGGTAATAATTAATCTACCTCATCTATAGGTCCTCTATTTCGAAAAAGCGATTCAACAACGGACAATGCCTTTGCATGTTCGTGAAGATGGAACCAGAAAACCGCCTGCCCAAGCCACCACATGTCCACCTCTCTCCTCTCAACCACCACTTCATTTCTTAATTTTATTTTTGTTATTTTAATAGTGTCCTAATTTCTAAATTAAAATAAGTTTTCTAATTTTAGTCCAAAATAGAATGCCATTAAATTGATGTGTATCGGATAAAAATGTTAGATTCTTAATAGATACTTGTTAGTGCTTGGATTGTAATTTATGATTTTTTTATATTGATTTGATCATGTGATGGTTAATTTCTATTTATATAATATATATATATATATATATGTTTTGTTTTTGAACAAAAATACATAAGTTTTTAGCTCCATTAATTGATATGAATTTTTGTTTTAATAATTGAATGTGTAGAAATTAAGAACATGGAACGATATAATACATGAAAATCATACTCGATTAGTTTAAACAATGTTATTTCGAATGGTACAACACCAATTTTGATGGGTTCAATCCGATTTCGGATAGTTTAACTCGGGAAGAGATCCTGGATCAAATTTCAACGGCCCGGATCACTTGATCATGGGCCTTTGATGGGAAAGATCCAGACTCTTTCCATTCAACTCCAATACTGGGACCACCCAATGATAAAAGTCTAGACCCGCCACTGGGTACATGTAGGAGCTACGAGAAGCTCAGGCATACATGAGGCTAGGTAATCTAGCGGTCGATAAGTACAACTGGAGTAGGGAAATGTGGGCCTATACTCTTATGGAATATGGTAGTGATCGGGAGGAGGAGGATGTTGTAATACCCCGTATTTAATAAAAAAATTATATATATATATATGTATGTATGTATGTATGTATGTGCGAAGTTATAATTTTATTGGGTTCCTTATATACGCTATGAGTAAAAAAAAAAATTTAAAAAAAAAAACGCGTATTTTTAACATGTAAGTTAGTAGGGATCCTTTCACTACAAGAAAATATCTAAGCCTAGCTAGTACTTTTAAACTCAAATTTCTCCAACTAGAGAGGTTTCTAGTGTTTGCCATCCTCATTGTAGTTTTGTAATTTTGTACATAACTTATATATGTATTAGATTGTTTTTGGTAGGCCCTAAAGTTATTTTTACTTGCTAATGGCAATTATCATTGCTATAGCCGAGCTTCATGTGGGATTATTTGAGTAGTTTTTGCTTATTTCATTTTTCTCTAAAGGGTGAGGTGGAAGTTGGTAATTAATAGAAGATAATAATTAGGGTGTGGAGGTGGGAAGTCTATAGCTTGTACGTATGGCTAAGTGTTGAGTTTTTAGTGAGTTGGCAAGTTGAGTTAATGTAGTGTGATGATTCATCCCCCAAGTTTGGAGAGGTGTGAGTCTATATAGGGTCATAGACTATGTATGTGTATGTATTGACATGCATGTGGCAATATGTTGTTGATGTTTTAGAGTGCTTACTCACTAGCCTAGGGGAATTTTCAATTATTTGTCTATATTCTTTCTTAAATGCTTCAATCTATCATTCCAAATGTTCCAATGATATGAGAACAAATGAGCTTCCAACGTCAAGGGGGACGTAAATGGCCAAATAGCAACAAGAGGTATGATTACATTCTATATAAATGAAGGAGAAGATCTGGAGAAGAAGAACGCCAAGCCAGCAAAGAAGAAATCCTCCTTTTCTCATATCCCTCCTTCTTTAGCATCCAATTTGAGTAGATTATGTAATGGCTTTTCAAGCTACTTTCATTGTATTTTGTAAATCTCATTTTTAGTGAATTACAAATATAAACACAAGTCTAGTGGACGTAGCCGAATTGGCAAACCACTTAAATCCGGTGCGTGACTCTGTTATTACAAGACTATACTCTCTTCTTCTTTACTCTCCTAGTAAGAGCTATGAAAACACCACACCAATCAATAAAAAAATAGTTAGTTGTGCAAGTCTAATTAACGTGACTACAAATGAACGGAAGAAAACAGCATTAGAAAGCCAAGGAACCAAAAATGGATTCTTTTGATCATCATCGCGTCAAGTTCGCCATTGCCAACCCAAGTCCTCATATCTTTATCATCAACTCAACCTCACCTCTCACTCAACAACTGCCACGCTTGGCTATTCACACTCACTAATGGCAACCACGACGAACGAGACGATGGATGACGTTGTGGCTATGCTCTCATGAGAGTCACTCCATGTGCCTCATCCATCCCCGCCAACTATCACCACCCTTGGTTATGATTTTTTGACAAACTGAGATGATGAGAAAGAGATGAGGTGTATTATGATGAGTGAAAAGGGAGAGCTGTGAGAGGAGATGAAAGAAAGGAAAAGAGTACGAAGCAAAAGCAAGAGTGAAAAGGAAGGAGAGAATGAGTAAGGAGAGCCAGATGAAAGAAAGTGATCAAGTGGAGAGAGAGAGAGAGAGAGAGATAAACCAGAAACCGGAACTGAGAGAGGGCTGTGGAGTCCATTCGACTCAACCTGTATCTCGTTGTGTATGGGTAAACGATTTCCATACTTTATTTATCCTCTCCATAATTGTTTCCTTTCTTATTGTTGTCTTGGATTGGCTACTGTTATCCAAAACTAGTTTATATGCAAGCTTCATATGCAGGTGTGTTTATTTATGCAAAACCAGTTTTATATGAAGAGCTAAAATATGCATATGCTTAAACCCTATTTTGGCGCGTAAGAACTGGTATGATTATTTGGGTATTGTTTCCTATTGGCTATATATATATATATATATATATATATATTTATATTGTTGTAAAAAATGATATTCAAAAGGCTGCACATATGATATCAGTTTACTAATTGTTGGGATACTATCTTTTATAAATTGGTTTGTCAGTGAGTGAGAACATAAGGGAAGAGAGATGAGAAGAAGTAGAAGGGTGGGCCAAAATAAAAATAAAAGATGATGTTTGGAAAGGGAAAAGTTAGAGACATGATTTCATGTCTTGTGGCCTTTGAACCATGTATTTCACTTTAACAATTATCTTCTCTAACATGGATGTCTATTCCTTTCTAATAAAAACAGGTTGCCCGACCAAAATGGACGAGACATTGGAAAAATATATAGAGTGGTCAATGAGCAACGCCTTATATGATGGATTATAAATTACTACTTTGTTATTGATATTATGATTATATTACTTTTGTTACTAATCAGATTGGTTTATGTTGAAGCTTGCAGGTTTGTAAGATAAAATGTGAGTATTATGCACATGACGTATACATATGCATTGCAAAGCAAGAAAAAGAGTTGTGTTGTGTCAAGTGCTCACCTGTGTAGAGTATTTGCATTGTGAGGATATTCAA